AATGCGTTGTTGGGCATGCAATATTGTCTTTTTTCCAGTTTCCTGATTGGTTACCAAAAAGGTGTTTACAGTCACGATATTCAGGTCCTGATATTCTGTGTTCTATAGACATCTAGCCTGAAAAATCTAAGTGTAACTGGTATTATATTCATGGGAGAAAGCACAGGAATAAATATTTGTGTTGGGTTGTTGTAGGTTTTTTTGGGCTGTATGGCCATGGTCTAGAGGCATTCTCTCCTGACGTTTCGCCTGCATCTATGGCAAGCATCCTCAGAGGTAGTGAGGTCTGTTGGAACTAGGCAAAAGGGTTTATATATCTGTGGAATGACCAGGGTGAGACAAAGGACTCTTGTCTGCTGGAGCTAGGTGTGAATGTTTCAACTGACCACCTTGATTAGCATACAGTGGACTGACTGTGCCTGCAGCAAACTTGTTGAGAGGTAATTAGAAGTCCCTGCCTGCTTCCTCTCTGTTGTTGTGCTGTTGCAATTTTAGAGTTTTTTAATACTGGTAGCCAAATTTTGTTCATATCTGTGTTGTTGAAGGCTTTCGTGGCCAGAATCACTGGGTTGCTGTGAGTTTTCCAGGCTGTATGGCCATGTTGCAGAAGCATTCTTTCCTGATGTTTCGCCCACATCTATGGCAGGCATCCTCAGAGGTTGTGACGTCTGTTGGAAACTAGGCAAGTAGGGTTTTATGTCCAGGGTGAGAGAAAGAAACCCCTGTCTTTTGGAGGCAACAGACCTCACAACCTCTGAGGATGCCCGCCATGGATGTGCGCAAAATGTCAGGAGAGAATGCTTCTGGAACATGGCTATACAGCACGAAAAACCCACAGCAACCCAATTAATATCTTTTTTTTAATCTAAAGGCATTTTCTCTGAACTTTTGAGAATCAAAACTGTGTTCTCATCTTCTGTTTCTTTAGGATGAATCTTTTCCTAAACGTTTAAATGCTCATTCATTTTGGCTACAACAGTTAATGGTTGTGAGGCAGTAAAGGACAGACCAGCGCATCTTTAATAAGATACTATTTTAAAAAACCTTTAAAATATTTAATATCAAATTAAATGGAGTGTAAAGATGGATGAAAATACTGATTAATTTATGGGTTGAGTTGAGATAAAAAGTGTTCTTAGTGGGTGAAATGTTTGTCCTATGGTGCAATATTATTTCTGTTCTAGTAATTGGCAAAATATAAGCATCAAGATAAAAAGAGTATTGTTCATTAAATATTAATAGTTTCTTCAGAGGGATGAGAGCAAAATAACAATTTTCAGAACAAGTTCAGCAGTCAAGTTACTAAAATCATTTGTCAGTATCACTTTGGTTTTGTTGGCCAATGCAGCTTTGTCTGTATCTCTATCTGCTTTTTAGATGGCTGCTTTGGGGCGCCGAAATTACACCCCCAAAGAGCCACAGCTGATTGTGTATTGTTAGTTTCTCTGCCATGCTTTCACAAAACATTTCTGCTGTGCTTGGCAGCTATGATGGTCTGGATGAGGGCAAACAAATTGAAATTGAATCCAGACAAGACAGAGGTATTCTTGGTCAGTCGTAAGGTTGAACAGGGTATAGGGTTACAGGTTCGCAGCTTGGAAGTCCTCCTGGATTTATCACTGAGCCTGGCACTCAGGTTTCAGTGGTGGCTAGGGGAGCTTTCGCACAATTAAAACTTATGCACCAGTTGCACCCATACCTTGGGAAGTCAGACTTGGCTACAGTAGTCCACGCTCTGGTTACATCTCAAATAGACTACTGCAATGTGCTCTACATGGGGTTGCTTCTGAAGACTCTTTGGAAGCTCCAATTGGTCCAATGGGCAGCAGCCAGACTGCTCACTGGAGTGGGGTACAGGGAGCACAAAACCTTCCTGTTATGCCAGCTCCACTGGCTGCCAGTCTGCTTCTGAGCACAATTCAAAGTGCTGGCTTTAGCCTATAAAGCCCGCAACGGTTTCGACCCAGCTTGCCTGTCTGAATGTATATGAACCATCTTGGAGGTTAAGACCATCTGGAGAGGCCCTGCTCTCAGTCCCACCTCCCTCACAAGTATGACTGATGGGGACGAGAGACAGGGCCTTCTCGGTGGTGGCTCCTCAGCTATGGAACTCTCTCCCCAGCAAAATCAGATAAGCTCCCTTCCTCCTGGCCTTCAGAAAAATACTAAAAACCAGGCCTTTGGGCAGTAAGCAATACAAGGCATGATTAGGGTTTATGTGCAATTGATCTATGTTAGGTTTTATATGTATTAAATATGTTGGAAACTGTTTTGAGTCCCTCCCTGGATTGAGAAAAGCAATATACAAGTGAAGTAAGTAAGTAAGTAAATAAATAAATAAATAAATACTGTGGTTCCGTGGTGAGAATAGTTTCCACATAATATTTCCACATAAGAATGGGTTGTCATGAGCTTTAGTCTCCATGAATGCAGTTGTAAACAAGTTCCATGCAACTTGTTTATGTTAAGTTTTTGTACAAAAGAGTAATGAAGGCAAAAGAGTTCAATACTGGGACATGAAGAGTGCCACTCGCAGATAACAACAAAAAAACCACCCACAAAATCTGGACATTCTTTCCTTAGTAGGTATTTCCAGGTATTTCTTGATGACAGTATCTTGCCACTCATTGAACATTGCTTCTGAATAGCTATCAAATTAGACAAACATTTTTTTAAAAGTTTCATTTGTATAATTTGACATTCTTGAAGAGTCAAAAGTTGCAAGGATTCAGCAGATATGTAGAGGAGAAGTACAACTATACTTTGGTAAAGAGTGCTCCTTGTGGAATGTGCTTTTTTGTGAACTAAATGCTTCTTTCTATTCTAGGACGCACAAAAACGTAACATTAAATCTGATTCATAAAGTTTGAAGAAGCTCCAGGGCTATCCAGTCTAGCCCCATTCTGCCATGCAGGAGAACATAATCAAAGCACTCCTAACAGATGGCCATTCATTCTGTTTAACACCTTTAGAGGAGGAAGGTCCACCATACTCTGAGGCAACATGGCTCATCATCAGACAACTCTAAATATCAGGCAGTTTCTCCCAATGTTTAGATGGAATCTCCTTTCCTGCAGTTTGAATCCATTCCTCCATATTTTTGCCTCTAAAAGATGTTTTTATTGGCTGATGTTTAAATAGATATGTATGAAGTGCTTAAACTACTATCTGAAAACCTTAATTAAGTAGGTTGTTGTAAGTTTTTCAGGCTGTATGGCCATGTTCCAGAAGCATTCTCTCCTGACATTTCGCCTGCATCTATGGCAGGCATCCTCAGAGGTTGTGAAGTCTCACAACCTCTGAGGACGCCTGCCATAGATGCAGGTGAAACGTCAGGAGAGAATGCTTGTGGAACATGGCCATACAGCCCAAAAAACTTACAACAACCCAGTGATTCCGGCCATGAAAGCCTTTGACAATACCTTAATTAAATGTTGGACTGGAAGCAATGTGGGTACAAAATAAAAGATGGAAAAATATTAGGATACACTGTGTGTTCTCATATGAGTTGCTTATGACATACTGTAGTGCTTTCATATACCAACTAGTGTTCTTTTACTGTTCTCTGGTTGACCGTTTGCGTGGAAGAAGTGTTCAGTTTGTGAAGGGTTTGTGGGGGAATCAGCTTTATTGTTTCACAGGAAGCAACATAAAGAGCTTGGCCAAACATAGTGAGCAATGGCTATAATCCCCCGCCTGTTTCTGCAGCTGCTCTCAGCCTGGCAGCTGGCACAAAGTAATAATAGTTCTGACTTCTCCGGAAGCCTATACGTACATCCAAGAAAACAAACATACCCAACCATCTCCGGTGACATTTTATCTTTGTTGACAGCTTTATTTGGTTCTGTGTATGGAATATGTATCGGTTATTATCTTTTAGGCTGATAAAAGCATGTGCGGATTAGACAAATTGGTTTGTGGACACTTATTGCTGTAATGACTGACCCCAAAATGGAAACCAATGGTCATGTCAGTAATCAACAGTAATCATAGTCCACTGAAACATGATATACAAAAAATGACACCTTGGTTATATTAGTGTGATTGTATGAGGACTCTGTTTGATTGGTTCATCCGCACAGCTTCAACAATACTGTCAGATGAAATATAATCTGTGTATTCTGTTGATTTTTCTTGTTACTTTGAACATCCTCACATTCACATACAGGGCTGTAGTTTCAAAGGAATAATACACATTGTACAGGCAGTCCCCAAGTTACGAACAAGATAGGTTCTGTAGGTTTGTTCTTAAATCGAATTTGTATGTCAGTCGGACCAAGTACATTTTTATAAGCTTTGGATCCCATTGGGAAGGGTTAATACCCCTGTGGTGTTTGTTTTGCTGTGTGTGCCCCTGTTCAGAAGATATTGCCTCCCTTTCTGTCCCAGGAGCCCCTGGTGGTGCGGTGGGTTAAAACCCATGTGCCAACTGAATTGGTTGACCGAAAGGTTGGCGGTTCAAATCTGGGGAGTGGGGTAAGCTCCTGTCTGTCAAGCTCTAGCTTTCATGAGGAGACATGAGAAAAGCCTCCCATAAGATGGTAAAACATCAAACATCCAGGCATCTGGGAAATGTGCTTGCAAACACCTAATGATTTTACATCAGAAGTGACTTGCAGTTTCTCAAGTTGCACCTGACATTAAAAAAAACTCCAAAACTTTCTGTCCCCGTGACAATTGCATTCTGAAAAAAATTGGCTTGTTGTGAAAATTTGGCTTGGAGACAAGGATTGATGATACAGCTTCAGTGGAGACTCCTTTTCCCCATGATAACTCTTCCAACTCTTATGATTCTATGATTTTATTATTCTAAGGAGTATAAATTACAGTAATGGATATACAGTTTATACATTCATAAATTCTATAGGAAAATTAACATATAGTGAAATTAAATTCATTCAGTGTCAGCCTTTCTTTAAAGTGACAAAAAAAAAACCCCCAAAACCCTAGAATAGTACCATGTCTCCTAACTATCATTTTGCAATTTTGTGTGTTCTCAGGAATTTTGGAAGACAGCAAATCAACCCAGACCTGCATTGCAAAGTCCTCACCTGCGAGCAGAGTCACTAGTACTGAAAAAAGAGCTCACTGTGGTACACAATGTACAAAACTGACTGTTCACAACACTGGAGCATCAACAGAGAAGCAGCAGAATGGCTTTAGAAGCACTGAGGTCAGTGAAGAATGATGTTTTGTGTGATTTTCTTCAATACTAGTTTGAAACTGAATTAAGTAGTCAGTGTAGATGTGCCCTTTATATACATCGAACCATCAAAAAAAGGTTCCCTATCTCACCTAACCATGGAGATCATTTTGGATATTTTGGATTTAAGAGTTCAAGATGTGGGAGACTCAACTTGTACTTTTTATTGTATTGAATTGACTAAAAGTATATTTCTTCTGCAACAAAATATTAATCTAACTTCTTCTGCACTTTTCAAAACACAGGGCAAACGGGAAAACAAGAAGAAAGCCACCAAGGAAGTTGCTATCAATGCCTCCAAAACAATCAGACAAATTAGTAGCAACAAAAGAATGGCAAAGAACTGTGTCAACTAAAAAACAAAGGAAATGGTGAACGAACTCTGCAATATTTTGCTGCACTTTAATGGACTACTTAATGTGAAGCCCTCACAGTGTTTTGGTATTTTGCTGAATGGGGTGGCAGGCTGCTATTGAGTGCCTTTGGAAAAACTCTTGTTCTAAATGCCTGTTGACACTGGATGTTTGCACACTCCTTGTTATGTGTTGCCATTTGGGTGAGGCTGGGCCAGCAATTAGTACGTATTTTTTATTGTCACTGGAATAATTTCATATAAAAAATAAAACAAAAATATTTTTAAACCCCCTCAAGACAATCCCTCAGAAACATCTTCTCTGGCTTATGCAGTTCTCCCATGGTTGCCTCTTATGTTCAGTCTGGGTATAAAATGTTCAGCATCCTAACTCTCAGGGTGTTCTCAGCAGTTTCTGTATCCAAAGTGGCATATTTTATTATTTCCTTCAGTGGCGTGCTGGATATACCATATAATTTGAAATACCATGGGAGTTCCCTCATTATCCCGTATAATTTACTACTATAGAATATAGTGAGTTTGGTGCCAACAGAGATAATACTGTAATAGTTGGAAGGCACAGAGTGATATTGTAACCCCGATGCACCACATGGGAGCTTTGTGTTGTTATAAAATGTTAGAACGGACGATACTTGCTCTTCTATTAGTGGAATCGACCCAACAATATGAACTCATAGAAGAATATGTCCTTCAGTTATATACCATGCATTTGCTAGAGCAAGAGGCTGTATCAAAGAGTCTTTTTATAATATAAAGCTTGACCAACAATGCAAATCTGGCAGTGTCCATTTGTTTTTGATTAAAAGCATGTTGCTCTATAATAAAACTGTGTCAAATGTGTGACATGTTTCTGCTTGAAAGGGCTTACACACTAACTAAGGTACAATAAGGAAATCACTGCAAAAAGTGGTACTGATACTTTCCTCAGGAACAAGTTGGTTTGGGGAGTAGCCAGAGAGCAAAGTGAGGTCCTTATAGACTTCTTCGCTTTCCTTTTTCAAATCTAAACCATGCCTTCTCACCCAGTAAGCTCTGCATTAATAAAATACAGCCAAGTGTATCTTCCCACTCATTGCAGAACTGGTAAAAGCTTCGTATGTGAAGGGAATGGATTTACCTTTGGAAAACACGTGGGGCTGCCCTTGAAAACAGCTCAGAAGTTCCAACTGGTCCAACGAGCAGCGACCAGGATGTTAACTGGGGCCCCTTACAGAGAGAGGTCAACCCTCCTGTTCAAGGAGCTCCACTGGCTGCTGTTTATTTTCCGAGCCCAATTTAAGGTGCAGGTACTTACCTACAAAGCCCTGGACGGTTTGGGACCATCCTACCTGCATGACCGCATCTCCGTCTACGAACCCACGCGTTCACTTCGGTCATCTGGAGAGGCCCTGCTCGTAATCCCGCCTGCGTCACAAGCGCGCTTGGTGGGGACACGAGACAGGGCCTTTTCCGTGGTGGCCCCCCAACTCTGGAACACCCTCCCAAAAGATCTTATACAGGCCCCTACATTGGCAGTCTTCAGAAAGAACTTGAAGACCTGGCTGTTCCGATGTGCCTTCCCAGATTAGGAAATCTCCAATACCAAGTCCCATAAGCACTTTATTAGAACTAAGATTGCCGCACGCTGCACACTGCACTTGCCCTATAAGCCTTATATACCACCTGTCACATCAGCACTTTTAATCCTGTACCCATTACTCTGGCCAGGCCCAGTTTCATTATGTCCTAGTGTATTGTTTATTGCTTGTTGTTATATTGCTTTAATTGTTTTTAATTTGCCTTGGGTTTTGTATTGTTATGTTGTGTGTTGAGGCCTTCGCCTTTGTAAGCCGCATCAAGTCCTTTGGGAGATGCTAGCGGGGTACAAATAAAGTTTAATAATAATAATAATAATAATCAGAGAAAATATGACTCGCTCAAACTTGGAATGTCTCACAACTGCTTTAAAAAGAAGCAGGAAGTCTCAGAAGAAAAGAAAAATATCTGCATAAGGATCGGCTATTAATGTCTCTCAGTTTTGAAGGATCAGGTCTGTTTCAAAGAGAGTACAATTATCCAAGTAATAATCTGACTACTCCTCTTAATGTTCCCCAAGCAACAGCAAGAGTATCCCTCTGGGCAGCTAAACTAGGAAATCCCAATTGGATGCCCCCCCCCCCCCCACAAGGGTCTTCCTCCAGTGTCAAACTAGGAATGGGCAACTTGGAAGTCCCTGAACAGAATCAGAAGTGGAGTGGGCAGATCAAAAGACAACCCGGTAAAATGGCACTACGTGGAAGAATCCACCTTGTGCGACTGTGGAGCAGAATAAACAACTCCGCATTTGTATGCTTGCCCACAATGCCCTGCCTCATGCACAGAGGGAGAATTGTTTAAAGCCACAGTCAATGCGGTCGCTGTTGCCTGGTTTTGGTCAAAAATTATTTAGCCACTTGTGCTCCCTGTATTTTATCCGTTTTATACCTATTTATGTAATGCTTTTGGCATGAAATAAATAAGTCAAATAATGTAATTGCTTCACCAAACTACAAACTCCAGATCTCACTGCCAGGGCAGTTGAGGTGGAATCACAGCACTACAATTGTATTATCTGTCCTTACAGTCTAAGATAAAGGAAGAAGTCAAGAATCCATTCCACGAAGGGGACATCCTGACAACCATAGTGTATTGCTGTGGAGATGCACTGCGGTACAGTTACAACACACATATAATAATCCATTTGTGTAAATACAGCCCTGGGGGTGAAATACTTCTCTCCATGGATTGCAAAAGGTTACATGGCTAACCTATAATTTCTATTAATCATTGCGGCACAGCACATACTTAACGGACTTCCTGTCCTAATTCAAGGCCTGGAGACGGATGACGCAATTGGCTTGTTTCTTATTGAAAAATACGGACTGTACAGCAAAATACTTTTCATGTACTCTGTTCCCCACCAATGAAGATTTAAAAATGGTGTAGTATGAGGTTATCCGTCCCTTGTGCAAGTGGGGTATTTTCCTTCCTAGCTCCATTTTAAAAAAATCTTCAATTTACAAGTTCCTACAGCAGAAAATATAAGACAGCAGACTTCAGCTTGCAATGAACAGCACTGTATTTTAAATTATTTCCTGACCCAGTTGTATAGAGTAGCAGTAATAGCCGCTTACAGCATTGCAGCAAAAATCTAATGGAGTCATCCAGCAGATTTAGGATGAATCATGGCCATAATTTTATTTTGGAGCATCCCAGAATCACACTGGAATAGCATATATAGACTGTGACTTCTCATTTTTTATTTTTGGAAAATGTGAGTGTTCAACTATGAAGCAGTGGGCATGGGTGGAATTTTGATATACAAATTGAGTGTTTCAAACCAAACTGATAAAATAGACATACAGTGTTCTAAGTTATTATTTTTGACAAAGACAGTCCTCATAGCTTTGGACTGAGACATAGGTAATAACGCTGAGGTTCAAATGAAAGATACTCCACTTACGCAGAAAAAATGAAATGCAAAGATACAGAATGGGGGACACGTGGCTCAAGATCTTGTGAAAAAGATCTTGAGGTCCTCGTGGACAAGTTAAACATGAGCCAACAATGTGATACGGTGGCAAAAAAAAAGCCAATGGGATTTTGGCCTGCATCAATAGGAGTATAGTGTCTAGATGCAGGGAAGTCATGCTACCCCTCTATTCTGCCTTGGTTAGACCACACCTGGAATATTGTGTCCAATTCTGGGCACAACAATAGAAGAGTGATATTGACAAGCTGGAATGTGTCCAGAAGAGGGCGACCAAAATGATCAAGGGTCTGGAGAACAAGCCCTATGAGGAGCGGCTTAAGGAGCTGGGCATGTTTAGCCTGAAGAAGAGAAGGCTGAGAGGAGACATGATAGCCATGTACAAATATGTGAGAAGTAGTCATAGGGAGGAGGGAGCAAGCTTGTTTTTTGCTGCTCTGGAAACTAGGACGCAGAACAATGGCTTCAAACTACAAGAAAAGAGATTCCATGTGAATATTAGGAAGAACTTCCTGACTGTGAGAGCCGTTCAGCAGCGGAACTCTCTGACCCGAAACGTGGTGGAGGCTCCTTCTTTGAAAGCTTTTAAACAGGCTGGATGGCCATCTGTCGGGGGTGCTTTGAATGCAATTTTCCTGCTTCTTGGCAGGGGGTTGGACTGGATGGCCCATGAGGTCTCTTCCAATTCTATGAATCACCATCTCTAGTCTGCTACAGCTGGAATATAGGCAAACCCAATTAAAACATATTTTCTGTGTCTTATTTCATCATTGTATTGATGCTATCTTGCTGGCAGGGGTGGAATCTTCAAAATGTCAGGAAAGTCATCTCAAATTAATGGCCTTCCTACTGTGTTGAATATAGGCACACTTGCACCCGCTATTCCCAGGAGATACCCAGAATTTGCTACTTGTGATATATTTTGGTTTTGAAGCAAGCTGTTTCCAGCAATTTGTCAAAGCTTATTTATTATTCATCGACTTAGTTAAGCAAATAGCATCCCCACTGAGTGTTGCTGCTTTTTCACTGAGTATTACAGCTTTTTCATTTTTTATGGTATGCCTCATAAACAACATAATTTTTATGTGCAAAGATATATTTCTTGTTGTGCTTGTTCTGCCTCAAAAATAATGTTTCAGCTTGAAGATATCGAGGAAAATGGGATGGGAACTTAGTAAAAGTAGTACAATGGGGACGTTCAGTTATGGGGGAGATTTGTCAAGTAGGAAGAAGGTTTAAAGCACAGCCTGAAAATAAGTTTACAGTTTGGTGAGGTAGTAGCACTCTTTGGCAGAGAAAGCTAAAGATCTTGTAATACTTCAACTCCCTGTAACTCCACAGCATTGAGCCATGGCAGTTAAAGCGTTTCCCAAACTGCAATAATTCTGCAGTGCAGATACATCCTGAGAAGTGCTGTTGGAGCAGATACTTTTGGGAGCTCACTGGCCTGTACTTCAGCATGGGATGATCATGTATTGTTTTTGCACACCTTTAAGTTATTTCCTATAGTGACTCACAGGCAAACAGATGACAAGATGATTTGGTATGATTTGGTCAGGAGAAGCTTTCTTTTGCTTTCCTCTGAGAGAGTATGATTTACCCAGGGTCACCCAATGGTTTTCCATGGCTGAGAGGGGATATACAATTTGGCTTAATTCACCTAGGCCCCTTTCTGAAATCCTGGCCCGAGCAGTAATTTTGCACGAAAGAATAGGGTAAGATTGGTTTTTAATGCATATGTGCTGTATTGATAATTTTATGCTTATGTGCCACCATGCCAGGGCTCTGCCTTTACAGAGGCGGAGATGAACCAAACAAAAACCCAGTTTGTATAAAACAATTTAATTAAAACAGCACTTACTTTCTGTCTGTTTTAATAGTCCAAAATATAAAACATAAAGATTGCTCTCAGCCACAGAATATACAACAAAAACAGCAAACACTGTTGCAGGTTCAAGATAACTCTGTAGTCAAAAGGTTCAGTCGAGTGGTCAAACGCTGAGAGTTCAATAAACAAAGTCCAGGGATCAAGAGTCTATACCATAGTCAAAAGCCAAGCCAAAGGTTCAAGGTTCCAGGATTCCAAAGGTTCAGGAGACAGGTCAGGACACCGAAAATCCACAAACCTGGGGGAAAACCAGCAGCATCTACCACCAAGATAAGACATACTTTTTCTTGAAGATCAGTCCCAAGGCTAGCTCTTTATATCCAGAAACACCCAGCTGGAACCCACCTCTTGCATACCTCCACCCTTAATTGCTTTCACCCATGAACTCTTACAGATTACTCAATCCTTTAGAACTAATACTTACACTAACA